CGGCTATTGTCTCTAGGGCAGGGGTGTTCTCAAGGACATTATCCTCAATGGCACAGAGTAACCCCTTTGTAGAAGGATATGGGAGAGACTTCTCTCAGGTCTCAGTACTCAGAAAAACTGTTTCTGCAGAATAGTAAGTTTATCACTTTGGGGTACTGTCTTAGTTACCCAATATTGCAGAACGCAAATACCACAAGTGAGTGGCTTTAGAACAGAAATTTATTTTCTCACATTTCAGGAAGCTAGAGGTCTGAATTCAGGGTGTGGCTCTAGGAGAAAGTCCTTCCTTGTCTATTTCAGCTTCTAGAACTTGCCAGCAATCCTTGTAGATGCTTCTGACTCTGTCGTCTGTCTTCCTCTTCTCCCTGTATGTGTATCTGTGTCCATTCTGCTCTTTTTATGACTCAGAAGTGATTAAATTTAGAACCCACTTTACTCGGGTATGACCTAATTAACATAACAATGAAAACTCTGTTTCCAAGCAGGGTCATATTTATAGGTATGTTGTTGTTGTTAGGGGCCGTCGAATCAGTTTCGGCTCATAGCAACCCTGTGTACAACAGAACAAAATACTGCCTGGTCCTGGCCATCCTCACAATTGTTGCTATGCTTAAGCTCATCGTTGAAGCCACTGTGTCATTTCGTCTCATTAAGGGTCTTCCTCTTTTTCATTACCCTCTACTTTACCAAGCATGATGTCCTTCTCCAGGGACTAGTCCCTCCTGGTAACATGTCCGAAGTACATGAGATGAAGTCTCGCCATCCTCACTTCTCAGCAGCATTCTGGCTGTACTGCTTCCAAGACAGATTTGTTCATTCTTCTGGCAGTCCAAGGTATATTCAATATTCTTTGCCAACACCATAATTCAAAGGCACCAATTCTTCTTCAGTCTTCCTTATTCATTGTCCAGCTTTCGCATGCATATGAGATGATTGAAATATCATGTACCCTAGTCCTCAAAGTGACAGCTTTGCTTTTCAAAACTTTAAAGAGGTCTTTTGCAGATTTGCCCAATGCAATATGTCATTTGATTCCTTGACTGCTGCTTTCATGCGCATTGATTGTGGATCTAAGTAAAATGAAATCCTTGACAATTTCAATATTTTCTATTTATCATGATGTTGCTTATTGGTCCAGTTGTGAGGATTTTTGTTTTCTTTATGTTGTGGTGGAATTCATACTGAAGGCTGTAGTCTTTGATCTTCATCAGTAAGTGCTTCAAGTCCTCTTTGCTTTCAGCAAGCAAGGTTGTGTCATCTGCATATTGTAGGTTGTTAATGAGTCTTCCTCCAATCCTGATGCTGCATTCTTCTTCATATAGTCCAGCTTCTCAGATTATTTGCTCAGCATATAGATTGAATAAATATGGTGAAAGGATACAACCCTGAGGTACACCTTTCCTGATTTTAAACCACACAGTATCCCCTTGTTCTGTTTCAATGACTGCCTGTTGTTCCATGTACAGGTTCCTCATCAGCACAATTAAGTGTTCTAGAAGTCTCATTGTTCGCAATCTTACTCATAATTTGTTATGATCCACACAGTTGAATTCCCTTGCATAGTCAATAAAACACAGGTAAACATCTTTCTGGTATTCTCAGCTTTCAGCCAAGATCCATCTGACATCAGCAATGATATCCCTCATTCTCTTCAGAATCCGGCTTGAATTTCTGGCAGTTTCCTGTTAATGTACTGCTGCAACCGCTTTTTAATGATCTTCAGCAAAATTTTACTTATGTGTGATATTAATGATATTGTTCGATAATTTCCACATTCTATTGGATCACCTTCCTTTGGAATGGACACAAGTATGGATCTCTTCCAGCCGGTTGGCTAGGTAGCTGTCTTCCAAATTTCTCAGTATAGACGAGTGAAACCTCCAGCACTGTATCCGTTTGTTGAAACATCTCAGTTGGTATGCTGCCAATTCCTGAAGCCTCGTTTTCCGCCAATGCCTTCAATGCAACTTGGACTTCTTCCTTCAATACCATAGGTTCTTGATCATATCCTACCTCCTGAAATGGTTGAACGTCGACCAATTCTTTTTGGTACAGTGACTCTGTGTATTTCTTCTGTCTGCTTTCGATGCTTCCTGCCTTGTTCAATATTTTGCCCATAGAATCCTTCAATATTACAACTTGAGGCTTGAATTTTTCTCCAGTTCTTTCAGCTTGAGAAATACCAAGTGTGTTCTTCCCTTCGGTTTTCTAACTCTAGGTCTTTGCACATTTCATTATAATACTTTACTTTGTCTTTTCAAGCTGCCCTTTGAAATCTTCTGTTCAGCTCTTTTACTTCATCATTTCCTCCATTCACTTTAGCTGCTCTACGTTCAAAATCAAGTTTCAGAGTCTCTTCTGACATCCATTTTGGTCTTTTCTTTCTTTCCTGTCCTTTTAATAACCTTTTGCTTTCTTCATATGATGTCCTTGATGTCATCCCACAACTCTTCTGGTCTTGGGTTAGTGGTGTTCAATGTGCCAAATCTATTCTTGAGATGGTCTCTAAATTCAGGTGGAATATACTCAAAGTTGTACTTTGGCTCTCGTGGACTTGTTATAATTTTCTTCAGCTTCAACTTAAACTTGCATATGAGCAACTGATGGTCTCTTCTGCAGTCGACCCCTGGCCTTGTTCTTACTGATGATTTTGAGCTTCTCCATCATCTTTCCAGTCGATTTGATTCCTGTGTATCCCATCCAGTGAGGTCCACACGTATAGTCACTGTTTATGTTGCTGAAAAAAGATATTTTCAATGAATAAGTAGTTGGTTTTGCAAAATTCTGTCATTCAATCTCTGGCGTCATTTCTATCACCAAGGCCATATTTTCCAACTACCTATCCTTCGTCTTTGTTTCCAACTTTCACATTCCAGTCACCAGTAATTATCAGTGTATCTTGATTGCATGTTTGATCAATTTCAAACTGCAGAAATTGGTAAAAATCTTCTATTTCTTCATCTTTGACATTAGTGGTTGATGCATAAATTTGAGTAATAGTTGTATTAACTGGTCTTCCTTGTAGGCATATGGATTTTATCCTATCACTGACAGTGTTGTACTTCAGGATAGATCTTGAAATGTTCTTTTTGTTGATGTATGCAATACCATTCATTTTCAATTTGTCATTCCTGGCATAGTAGACCTTATGACTGTCTAATTCAAAAGGGGCAATACCAGTGCATTTCAGCTCACTAATGCCTAGGATATCGATCTTTATGCATTCCATTCCATTTTTTATGACTTGCAATTTTCCTAGATTTGTATTTTGTACATTCTGATTATTATTGGATGTTTGCAGCTGATCGTCTCATTTTGAGTTGTGCCATATCAGCAAATGAAGGCCCCCAAAGCTTGACTCCATCCACATCATTAAGATCGACTCTACTTTGAGGAGGCAACTCTTCCCCAGTCATATTTTGAGTGCATTTCAACCTGAGGGGCTCATCTTCTGGCACTATATCAAACAATGTTCTGCTGCTATTCATAAGGTTTTCACTGGCCAATTTTTTTTTTCAGAAGATGGCTGCCAGGTCCTTCTTGTCTTAGTCTGGAAGCTCTGCTGAAACCAGTCCACCATAGGTGACCCTGCTGGTAGCTTCCAGCATCACAGCAACACACAAGCCAACACAGTATGACAAACTGACAGAGAAGCGGTGGATTTATAGGTATAGGGGCCAGGATTTCAATACATATTTGGGGGGACACAATCCAATCCATAGCAGGTCTTGTGATCCTTCTGAGAGCTGAGTGCTGGGATGCTCAGAGCCAGATTTGAAGGTATCTCTGGCAAGCAGGCAGGCCCTTAGGCAAGCAGTTCTGGGGCTAGTCTTACCCCTGGTTTGGTTATATCGCTCCCCTTACTTTCCGTTAATCCCAATTCCCTCAGCTTTTTGTTTTACACTCTTCTTTTGTGTGTGTCTTTATAAAAGCCTCTCTCTGCTGCAGAGTATATCTCTGCTGTGTGATATAAATATGTTAATTCATTTTAAATCTACCAGCACCTTTAGGGTAATTATGAGGATTAAGAACTGAATTGCTTTGTAAATGCTATGGACTAAGAACTGAATTGCTTTGTAAATGCTATGGAAGTATCACCACCACCAAGTGGAGCTGGGTTTGGCTAGAAGGCAAGGGGTCTTTCCTCTAGACTGGATTATCTTGCCACAGAAGCAGGCACCCTACCCTGAAACACTCATTGGCACCTGCTTATTTGTATACATAAATGAAAGCTCATCTAACACAATTTGAAATCTTTGCAACCCCCCTTGAGATTTTCTCAGTTGGCTTACATCAAGATGGGGGAACTGAAACTCTGGCTGAAACCTTCATTTTGTGGATCCACCAGCAGGGACTTGTTAGGGTTTCAACAGCCCACAGGCCCTGGGGAATGGGAGGGACACACTTTTGGGAAGGCTGGGTGGGAAGGAGGGTGCAGGAAGGGGAGACAGGAGCCCCAAGCTCAGCTGGTGGTGTGAGTGGATCAGGGAATACAGGGTTCTCTGAAGAGTCTGCTCAGAAAAAGTAACCACAGACCCCCTGGGGCCACTTGCACTTTTCAACAAGGTAGAGGAAACTTTTACCCCTGGACCAAGTGATCAGACCCCCACCCTGCCTCCTGGGCATTTCAAACACCTTCCCTCCATGCTGAAGGACTTCTGAAGCACTAATGCCACTTCCTTGCCTCATACTACTTTGCTTATACTGAGGAGTCACCAGTTATGGCCATCGCCTCAGCTCGCTTCTTGCTCTGTGATGTAAACAGACCAAGAGGCAACACCCTCCCTTTTCAGAAGAGGAAGCTGAATCTCACAGAGGGCAGTGGCTTTCCCCAGGCTACTTGCCTCAGTAGACCCCAAAGTCAGACTCAGGGCTGCAAGGCCTGTGCCCCTTGCACAAAGGCGACAGCCTGGCACAAGCTAACATTCCCTGGGAGCTGGGCTGGGGCTGGGGCCTGCTGGAGGGCTGGGCTCACCACTTCACGTTGTCTTTCTTGGCAGTGGAATCTGGTGTGTGAGGATGACTGGAAGACACCCCTCACCACCTCCCTGTTCTTCGTAGGCGTGCTCTTAGGCTCCTTTGTGTCTGGGCAGCTGTCAGACAGGTAAGGTGGCTGGGAAGGAGGGAAGATGGGATCGAGCCCCTTGTCAATTCCCTGCCCGTCTTAGAGTTGGGCTGAATTGAGGGCATTTCCCCCTAGGGAAAGAGAGGACCCTCAGCGGACAGAGTTAGTGATGAGAGGAGCCAAGATGTCTCTTGTTCACCTGCCCTCAGCCCACTTTTCCTGGACCTACTTTTGTTCAGTTCTTCCAGCCTTGTACTCCCAGGGCTTTGGTCAGGGGTGGTGAAAGGGTAGTGCCCCCACTGGGAAGTGGAGGCTTTATACCCTTAAAACCTTTGAAAAACACACAGCTGCCCTCCCCACTGCACCCAACTCTCTGAGTGTGAGTAGACCAAGGACCCCAGGGTTCTCTGGAGCAGTCTACTCAGAAAATAGAACCACAGATGCCCCTGGGACCACTTGCACTTTCAACACCTGATCTGCTGACACCACCAACTCTGAGAACTGGGGGGAAGGGGGTGACATGTGATCTGTGCACAAATAACCCCTCAGCCAGAGTCAGGGCCAGACAGAGAGTGCTGACCTTGTGCCCACTGTTGCTGTGGGTCAGGCCCCTAGCTTGGCACAGGGACCACAGAGTTGACTCAGGCTGGTTCTGGACCTCTCCGAGCTCACAGTCTGGAGGCGGCAGCATCACAGCACCGGGAGAAGGGCCGCTTGAATGTTCTGTGGTGACCAATACTAGGTAGGAATGGCTTCTGACACACAGGGATCCTCCCTCCAACCTTCTGAGAGGCCAGGGAAGAGGAGCTGCTAAATGGCAGTGCTAGGGAATGGACTGCCCTCCCCGCAGCTACAAAGTCCAATGCAACCCAACCCCAGCAGCCTGAGAACTGATTTTGGAAAACAGGGCGGGAAGCTGTTGTGTTCACATCTGTGCTCCATTGTACCCACTGGCCACTACTAAAATGTTAAATTAACACTTAAATCACGTCCAGAGTAACTAACGGACATTGTCAAAAGCTGCGTCTTCTCATAAAGCATGGTCTACAATGTTGGCTGCACATTAGAATCATCTGGAAAAATTTTTTAAAATCCCAATGCCCAAAGTGCATCCCAGACAAATAAGATTCTCTGGAGGCAGAATGCTGGCACCAATATATTTAAAGCTTTCCACTTGATTCCAAGTGCAGTCAAAGTTGAAAGGCACTGCCATAGAGGGACTCTTGGTTCTGGATTTATAGAATTCCCATGTTGCTGATGTAAGAAGTATCTGCAGTCTGTACAGTACCCACTTTCTAGAAATATGGTGGCAGCTTCTACCTGTGACTTGTTCTGAAGGCTAAACTTCCATGTGGTCCTCCCATAAGCTACTAAATGCTTTTGTGGTATGGTGCCTCCGTAGGAGGCGTAGCATCTCAAAAGGTTACCTTCTGGGTGATAGATGTCTGATAGATGTCTGTCCCAGGGAGGAAGCTGGGAGGATGTGACAAGAGAAAAGTCTCTCAGAGCCCTGAAAAAACAAGTCTGCAGAGATGCCTGACTCGGGCATTGCAACAACCCACACTTGTCATATTTTGTGTTATGCTGTGTTCTAGGTTTGGCAGGAAGAGCATCCTCTTCACAACTATGGCTGTGCAGACTGGCTTCAGCTTCCTGCAGATTTTCTCCACCAACTGGGAGATGTTCACTGTATTATTTGTCATCGTGGGCATGGGCCAGATCTCCAACTATGTGGTGGCCTTCATACTAGGTAGGAATGGATTCTGATATGCAGGGATCCTCCCTCCAAACCTCTGAGAGGCCAGGGAAGAGCGGTCACTAAACAGAGCACAGGAAATACTCTTATTTGGCCCAGAAGGAAGGAGCTCAACCCATACGCTGTGCTTCTAAACTTGGCCAGCCTCACGTGTGTGTGTTGGGGAGGAGGCTGTATTGTTAAGTTCTTTGATACAGTCACAAACAGGGCAGGCACTCACAGAGAGCCTGATATTTTATACGCTGAGCCCTCACATGTGGTGGTGAGTAAGAGCTAAAGCTAAAGCCAGCCACACAATAACTGAGACACATTCTCAGGAGCACAGGGTTTGTGGGGAGCGCAAAGGAGGGGGTCTTGGGGAAGGGACAGCCTAGAGATGTCTTTGATCTGAGCTGTGAAGGCTTGAGGCTTCTGCCTGATGGGCCAGGGCAGAAGGATATAGCTGATATAGCTGGTATACAGGCTGAGGAGGCACATGCCAGATAGGAGGGATTCAGTGCCAGCCTACCACCGTTGGGCACATTTGGTCTCATCCTGAGTCAGAGGCCACTCCTGAGCATATCAGCTATGTGTAGGACAAGCCTCACTGCATTGATATTAGTCCTATCTCCTAGCAGCAGCCTTGCTTCTGGAATATCAGGCTGCATGAGGGGAACTTACAAGCTATAAGGCCATAAGGAGGCCCCCAGGACCTTCATCAGCTTTTCCTGGGAGGAAGTGAGGTGAGCCTCAGGCAGGTTGATCAGGGTCATTATAGGAGTGAGAGAGTTCCCAACATACTCTCTGAGCCCCCATAGGAGCAGCTGAGAGAAGTGAGCGTGCCCCCCAGTTTATGAGGGTACTTCTGGGACAAAAGACACCAATTCCCATAAACTCTAGGGTGATAACACATCCTGATTGGCTTAGCACTGTCCCAGTTTATGCCTGTTGTCACAGTGATTATTAATAGGGCCCCATTAGTGAAATTCTAATGATTGTTCTTGTGTCAGAAGTCTGCATCTAGTTCGATGACTCTGATGGCTTATGAGTCTGGATGACTTTGGAGATTCTGTGTGCTCTTAGTTGGAGATGGGTACACCCTCTGTCAGATTGCCAAGATGGAATTGTTCAAATTCCACTCCTTTAATCATTCGTGAAGAGCCCCTTGCTATGGGCCCAGCCTCAGAGTCTGCAGAGGGGAGGGAGAGGAGGAGGTGGAAGAGCATGTTGAAGCCACATGGTCCCAGCAGATAGCACACTCTTTAGCAGGTCCCAGCAGAAAGGGGGCTCTCTTCTCCCTGCAAAAGGAAGGAGGGAAGCAAGAAGATATTCTTAAAGAAGATCATTTGTGTAGAGGACGGGGAACTTCAGGCCAGTGGGTACTGGAAGTTGGAGGTTGGAGGAACTTAGGACAGAAATTGTAATCTCCTAATGCCCGATGGCCCCAAGAACACAGGACTCTTGGGCACAACAAAGCCTGTTTTCCCTATGTTCTAAATCTTCCAGAATCCATCTTCCCTGTGGTGAACCCCATATCCCTGAAAAGCACAGTATGTGGCTCTCCTTGGGCCAGACACATACCAGAAAGGCCTCCCCAAAACAAGGGATGCTGCCTGAGGCCAGTAGGCCTGCATCACAGGACGACCAAAAGGACTATCTGTAATGAAAGGACAGGGAGTCATGCTGAAGCCAGAGAAGCCCTATTATTGGGACTGGGAACAAGGTGGAGTCTATGCCAGGCGGTGCCCCCACCTCCAGTTTCTACGAGTGGCCAGCATAGAGACCTGCCTTTCTGGTGGCACAGGGTGCATCTGGGGCCATGGAAACTCCCCTGTGTGAGTGGATGAGGCAGGGAGAGCCCACCCCAGGCTTCCTGCAGGAAAGACCTGCCCAGCTGTCTCTGACACTGCCCAGCAACACCCTACCCTGCTCCCCATGCAGCTTGTTGATCCACGGGCAAGGCTGAGAAGGGTAAGAGGCCTGAGTGGAAAGAGAGATCATTTAAGAGCAGTTATAGCCTAGACGCCAAGCCAACAATCAGTGCACCCGCTCCCTATCAGCCTGGATCCAGGCCTGTTGTTGTGTTGCACTCTGGGAGCCTTCTGTTACCTGACTGTAAAGTTTTGCTCCACTGTGCTCAGCAGAAAATTGCTGACTTTTGTGTTCTGGTATGAGACTCTTTGTGTTGGGTTCTCAGGTCTCAAAGTTCAGATTAAGAGTGTCCCTGAAAACCAACATGGCCCCTGTGGGAAGCCAGACTCTTCGTCAGTGCTGGCGGGAAGTTGTGGGGGTTGCAAAATAAATAGGGGAAGGTGGCTCCTAGCTTCCCCGCAGTGCAGCAGCACCCTCTGGTGTTTCAGGGGGGAAGAGCTGAATTCTGGGTTTTATTGACCAAAATAAATCCAAGCTGGGGTCTGAGCTGAGTTCTCTCTGGCCTATCACTTTTTTTTTTTTTAAACCAAATATGTGATTTATTTCAAATATGAAAGTGTAAAAGTGGATTATAAAACATGAGGTAAAAATGTATTAAAATGTAAATGATAAAAATATTACCATTAATACGCTTTGATATTTTTAGGATGTCACTTTTAGGAAATATTTGTGATTATTTAATTTTCAATTGTAAAATCAAATTTTCTCACTTTTTATGTAATTCTAGTTTTTTAATAACACTTCATTGCATTAACTTTATCTGGCCTTTCACTTTTACCCTCTGGCTCTAGGGGAGAGTTGGCAAGATTCTGCAATGATAATCTCTAGTTTTAAGAGTCTTCACATTAATTCGGGAAGCTGAATTACTCCCCCTCTCAAAGCAGTGTAGAAATAGCTCCTGTCCTTGCTCTGCCTTTTAAAAATTAATAGAGCCTGCCAGATCCATATGAGACTAGAAAAGCGAAGGAAGTAACAGTACTACCCAAAGAAACAGAGCGAAAACACCTGGAAGTGGTGACGCCAGCATAGTCTCAAGCATTTCCTTATGCCAGAATGATGCTGATTTAGGAGGAAATGACCACTCAGGACCAAGGACACTGATCCTACTGACACTCCCACTCCCCCTCACAATCTCCCACTGTTTCTCAGAAACAACGCCCTCTGCCTGTCCACAGCCTTCTGGGTAAAATGCCAGCAGCATCTTCTTTTATTCCCCGGAACCAGCTGCTTGAATTTATTCTGCACCATACAGTTAACTGCCTCCTGTCTTGACAGATTAATTAATTCAGTATTTTCCCAGTATTCCTAACATCAACCCCTGTAAGACATTTGTTTCAGCATTTTAAACTATTTAAAGCTTTGGTTCCTTTAATGTCTAGATGTGTTCCTCTTTTTGACGTGTAACTGATGGCATCTTCCTTTATAATTTTGGCTACCAGGAAGCTCAGGTAAACTTAAAATTCAACTACATCAATTGTGTAGCCTTTATCAGCCACATATTTTAAAAAATATTTTAAAATCGAGATATAATTCACATAGTATAATATTCACCCTTTTAAAGTGTACAATTCAGTGGTTTTTAGTATACTCACAAAGCTGTTAAACCATCAACTCTACTTCCAGAACATTTTAATCACTCCTAAAAAGAAACCTATTAGCAGTCACTCTCCATTTCCCTCTCTCCCCAGCCCTGACAACCACTAATCCACTTTCTATCTCTATGGACTTGACTATTCTGGACATGTCCTACAGACGAAATCCTACAGTATATGGCCCTTTGTGACTGGCTTCCTTCACTTATCATAATGTTTTCAAGATTCATCCATGTTGTAGCATGAGTTAGTATTTCATTCCTTTTTATGGCTTCATAATATTCTATTGTGTGGATACACCACACTTGGTTCATCCATTCATCAGCTGATGAACATCTGGGTTGTTTCTACTTTTTGGCTATTATGATGCAGTGACTTTTGGCAAATAATGCTGCTATGAACATTCATGTACAAGTTTGTTTTCAGTTCTCTTAGGTATGTACCTAGGAGTGGAATTGCTGAGTCATATGGTAACTCTGTATTTGACCTTTTGAGGAACTGCCAGACTCTTTTCCAAAGCAATTAGCTGCATATTTTTGTTCTCTTTCCCAAGGCATGACTTTTTACTTTTCTTGATATTTTACTTGAACATTGGCGTAATTTTTATTGTATTCACATTATAAACTACAAATTACATGTGTTATCTCAGTCCTCACCATACTAACTCCATGAAGTAGGATTCATTTTGCAGATGAAGAAACTTCCTCTAAGTGACTCTAGTAGCAAGTTAGCATCAAGGAGCCCAGGCTGTCTCTGCTTGCCTGATGGAGGGCACTCCCACCCAGGGCTCCCAGGGTCCCAACCCACATCCTGCACCACAGGTTTGTTTCTTGAGCTGGGGTCTACTGCAGGCCTCTCCTGGTCAGTCATGGACAAGCGGCTCTACCTCCATATAGGTTGGGCCTAGTCATTCCTTGGGCTGACTACCAAAGAAGGGTCCTGTTCTCACATGGAAGTGAGCCTGACCCTCTGGGAAACAGTGCCCAGGTTCAAGTGGAGGTGACAGGCAGTCAGCAAACACTTCTAGAGCTGGTTTAGGCTTAGATGGCTAGGACACACTCCTTTGGCTTATATATCACAGTTACACTCCCAGAGAGCACTCAGAGGTCCAACCAGACTGAGACCACTGGCCTTTGCCCTAGGAGCAAAGTACAGGAGGCCAGGACAGGGGCCTCCAGTCAGCAGAGCAGGAGTCACCATTGTCATCTGTCTCACTGCCAGTTGAGTACATAGGAGGCTTGTGGCAGCTGCAGGCATGAAAGACCTGCTTTGTGCTGCGGGAATCATGACTCCCCCCTACTGTTCCTCGGAGGGGGCTGGTTGGCTTCCAGTAGTTCAGAGACCAGCCCAGGAAGACAAAACCCAAGTCCTCACTTCTGAAAGAAGGATACGGCCTTGCCCATTCTAATGTACATGTCTTGCCCATTTCCTTGCACATTCTAATGTACATGTCTCCATTAGAATCTCAGTTCAAGGACTGCTTTATAGGGCCAAGGCTTTTTTTTTTTTTTTTTAATAGTGCCTGGTAGTTTTTTCCTCATGGAGCCTTCCCGGTATCTGTCGGTCAAACAGATCAGGCTTGAATCCTAACTGTACCACTTATTACTTACGTGTGGTCTTGGGCAATTTAACTCTTTAAATCTTAGCTGATTGTGTGTAAAATACAAGTAATAAAAGTTCTTGTGTAATTGTTGTGAAGATTCAAAGAGATAATGAATGAAAACAGCTCAGAACCTGGCTTAAACTGCCAACTCAAAAATTTGCTGTGAAGATGATGATGATGATGATGATGTTTAAGGGAGGGTAATTGTCTAAGAGTCAGAGTGCAGGAAGTAGTGTTAACAGGAACTACATTCACACCATCCATGCTGTTCCCCAGGAAGGCAGAGAGAGAGAGATTCACAAAGCTTCTGTCCCCTTCAGGTACTCTGAAGTTAAAACAACTCTGTTCTGGTTTGCTGCCCAAGCTTAGAGAGGGAAAGTTTCCTAGGAACCCAGTTGTATAACTTGTCTGTCTTCTCTTATCAAGGAGGTATAAGGAGGCACCCTTGGCCTCACAATTCTTCTCAAGGTCTACAAGGATCCGCTTGGTCCTATGCACTTTCTCTGTTCCACAATTAAACCCTCTGCTGCTTCACTTCTGAATCTCTGCTTGGGAAAAAAGCACCCCCTATTCATTCCCATGTCATGGTAATCACAGCTGAAGGGTTTAGAAACCAGGACATGGTAATGGAGTGTATGGTATGAAGTAGTAGGAAGGTCATTAATGAGGTAAGAATCCAAAAAAAAAGAAAATACTCAAACCCATTGCCGTCAAGTTGATGCCAGCTCATAGTGACCCTATATGTAGTACAGAGTAGAACTGTCCCATAGGGTTTCCAAGGCCGTGATCTTTAAGAAAATTGGAGCCCTGGTGGCACAGTGGTTCACAGCTATGGCTGCTAACCAAAAGGTTGGCAGTTTGAATCCACCAGCTGCCCTTGGAAATCCTATGGGGCAGTTCTACTCTGTCCTATAGGGTCACTATAGGAATTGATTCAATGGCAACAGGTTTGGTTTTTGGTTGGGTTTAATCTTTAAGGAAGCAGACTGCCACATCTTTCTCCAGTGGAGCTGCTGGTGGGTTCAAACTGCGACATTTCCGTTAGTAGCCAAGTGCTTCAAACACTGCATCAGATCAGGAAATCACATTCCTGATCTTCCTTAAAGAATTCAGGCCCTATCCTTACAAATAAGTTCCTAGGCTGAGAAACGCCCTGGGTGGTTAAGGCTATTGTATGTAATAGGCTGCAGGAGGCACTCATGAGTCTGTCAGTCTGGCTTCCAGAAAGGGCTTCTCAAGAAGGAATCACTGAGATGGGTCTCTCAGTTAGGATGAGTGAGGGAGAAGTGGGGTGGGGATGGGAACAGGTAGGGGGAATGGGAAACCAGCTGAAGTAGTAGTTTTGATGCTTCTATGGAATTAACCCTTAGACTCTTGGCCTGTGTCCAGGACACCAGCATGCTCAGAGTATGTAAGTAAGATCAGCTAAAATCTCTCTTGAAAGCCAAGCCTGAACGACCTTTGAATGACTTATTTTGTATTTTCTGGGCTACCGCTTCTCTGAATTGGTGGCAGATCCCAAACAAAAGGCAGAACCGTTACCACTGCCAGATCTCTGCCCCAGGGCAGAGGACCAAGAATGGACCCTGTGGAAAAGTCCTGAAGCTCTGTGACAAGAGAAGGAGCTTGTCATGGACTCTCCCATCTCAAGCCAAGAGGTCCGAGGGGCGGGCAACCTGGAAGAACTGGTGCCGAGGGCTGCTGTGGAGCTGGGCAAAGCAGGAGGCTAGAGTCGCCTACATTTCCTTCCCCGAAACTGTGCCCGACACCAATGAACGGCTCTGTGGTGTTCTGGGAAAGATCTGTGGGGCTCCCTGGTGTGCAGGGCATACGGCAGGTTCTAGGGTGCCGCCCGCTGGGACAAGAACAGCTACTTCTTTCCTTGGTCTGAATGGCCAGTGTCTGCCTGGGGCTGATCTCCCGGCACAATGTGGCTGCAGAGGGATTCCCCTCTGGGTGCTGGCAGCCTGCTCTGTGCACCCGCAGAGCCAGCTGGATCCTATTTATCATTCTCCAGGGCTCAAGGGTGGGTAAGGGTGTCATAACGACGTCTCAGAAACCGTGAACTCTGCACTGTTTCCCGATGGGCGAATGTCTATTTACAGCGGAGAATTGTGGAAAAAGCTAAATGCGCCGTGACCCCACGCAGCCTCTCACAACAGCCACTGCTCGTCTCCTCTAACACCCTTTCTGCCCTCAGGCTGGGGCTCTGATTTTGGAAATGTGGCGTTCTCAGAAGAGATTGCTTACCTGTTGGTGCTGGGCAGGATATTTCTATGACATGGGGTGTCCTCTTAAAAATAAATCTATGACTCCTCTAAAATCTCATAAAAACTCTTCCTTCTATAAGGAAGAATTGCTTCCCAGCTTCCTCCCCAGGACCGCTCCTGGTCCGAGTCATGAGGCAAATGTCTCTTCCTTTCTGTAAGTGGTTATAGTTTAAATTCTGTCAGGCAATAATGTAAGAAGCAAATATTGAAGTGAGTTAAAATGCTAATACTCCTCCCTTGTTTTGAACAGGAACAGAAATTCTTGGCAAATCAGTTCGTATTATATTCTCTGCGTTAGGAGTGTGCACATTTTTTGCAATTGGCTATATGTTGCTGCCACTATTTGCTTACTTCATCAGAGACTGGCGGATGCTGCTGCTGGCGCTGACGGTGCCGGGGGTGCTGTGCGTCCCGCTGTGGTGGTGAGTGCAACTCCATCCCAGACAGGCCCTCTGCTGCAGGCCAGGGCCAGCACGCCTGGAACCAAGAGCCTGGTGCTGACCCCACCATGGGCTTCTGCAATCTCTACCGGGACTTGCTGAGGCCAGGGGCTTTGAAGTCAAAAGAGTTTTCGCCTTGTTAAGGGAGGGCCTGTGCACTGGGATTGGATTCTCAATTATCTTACAAAGCACTGTTCTCAGGAAATCCAGTTCCCTCCAACTCTCCCTCTCTTTTCTGTTGCTGGTTTTTGTTGCCATTGTTGGTGGAGATGGTATCGTTGGAGCTTGTTGTTTTCAACTTTACCCTCTGCTCTTTTGAGACTTTTCCCTCTCTAGAACATCTTTTTCTCCTTGTGGATTTAGCTAACGTAATTTCCTCAAGCTTCCCAATCACGTGATGGTTAGTAGCTAAGGTGTGCCTGTTTACCGGCTTTATCTTGAAGAGCCAGAGAAATACTTTTGTTTAATGAGTTGTTAGAGAAACGTTCTCTTCTCTTCCCCCACAACCCCCAACTCCATTTTGGAATTGAGTTTCTCAGTTTGGAACTCAATTTCTCAGTTATGGAAATAGCATTAAAGTTAGGAGATGCTGGTCCCAGTCTTATCTAATATGCTTATTTGGGAGATCTCAGGTAAGAGAACAGATTAAGAATAATGGAAAAAGGTCCTAGCCATACCTCCCCCTCCCTTTTTTTGGGATTTCCCATTTCTTTGGTTTTTATATGTAAGCAAGAGAAAAGGGGAATTCTTCCATTGGTGAGTCTGGTTTAATATTATTATTGTTATTGGTTTGACTTCATTATGTCAAAATCAAATCTTCCAGCAGTTCAGCTTTACTGAACTGCTTGATCTCTACCTGCTTACACATAATGAAAGTTTCTTTGATCATTTTTTTAGAACACAGTTTAGACTAAACCTCATGGTTGCCCTGTCCTTTAGCTACATCCTGCCTGGAAATTACCTAGAAAGTCCATTATCTTGCTGCAGCTGTTACACAGTATCAATTTGACAAATAGCCCACCTTGGTCTTGTTTGACCAGATGGCTCAGGTTGGCCCACTCCAAGCTACTGTCTTTTTATGACTGGTATGGTTTACCAGTGTAAATTGCTGGCATAGGGTATACAGGGGATGGTGTAGGGAGAGCACATTTCTTTTTTCTTATTTCCCTGGAATTTGAGAGATAGATAGATTTGGATGTTTCTTCTGGAACCAGTCTGAGGGTCTGGAAAGCTTGTGCTAAATACTCAAGAACAAGGTAGGCCATTATCTGCACAGCTCCACCTCCAAAGAAAACATCCTAGATATATGAGAGCAGAGCAGTTTACTGGAATAAGAATCATGATCATCATCATCACACCCTCTCTCCCTCTCTCCACAACCCCCTTGTCAGTCAAATTAGATGGAAAAAATAGTGACCAGAGGTCCTCTCAAGACACAAGACAAAATTATTCAGAAATTATTTTCTGCATCTTCAGATGAATGATTTTAATAATCTGTGTTCCCTGGCTCCAGCTGTCATTTTGGCCAAAGAGACTAGTATTTTTAAAAGTGTTATAACCAACCATACTATGATAGATAGATAGACAGACAGATAGATACACAGAGAGACAGACAGATAGATACATAGATAGATAGATACATAGACAGATAGTTAGATACATAGATAGAATAAATACAGAAGTGTTCTGACTGACCCTTCAGAGATTGACAGGAATTTTGATTTGTATGACTTGGATCTTTGCCTCAGGACTATATATCATAGCAAGAAACAACTCTGAGAGGTCAACTTCTCTGAATTTCCAGCAAAGAAGGCCCATCCCACGAGGCACTGCCTCACTCTTGCCCTAAGGAGAGTTCTTTCTTCTGTTCCCCACAACTCCTGGCTGGAGGCACACTGTACCAGGGACAGTACTGCTCCAGGGACAGGACTGCTCCAGGACAGGACTGCACCAGGGACAGGACTGCTCCAGGACAGGGCTGAACCAGTGACAGGACTGCACCAGGGACAGGGCTGCACCAGGGACAGGGCTGCTCCAGGGACAGGACTGCTCCAAGACAGGACTGTACTAGGGACAGGGCTGCTCTAGGGACAGGACTGCTCCAGGACAGGACTGCACCAGGGACAGGGCTGCTCCAGGGACAGGACTGCTCCAGGACAGGACTGCACCAGGGACAGGGCTGCACCAGGGACAGGGCTGCTCTAGGGACAGGACTGCTCCAGGACAGGGCTGAACCAGTGACAGGACTGCACCAGGGACAGGGCTATACCAGGGACAGGGCTGCACCACGGACAGGGCTGCACCAGGGACATGACTGCTCCAGGACATGACTGCTCCAGGGACAGGGCTGCTC